AAGCAAGATGAGGCAGTAGGTGCCAGAAAAGCCTTGTTCACTTAATTGCAATTTATCTAAAACCAAAATAACCTATTTGCAAATTTCCAAGTAAGATTTTATCCTTTGCTTGAATTAGCTCATCTGTTTAAGAAGGGTGGCTTTTACTCTTCCTAACAATTATTTTTATATTGGAGAAAATAATCTTTGTACAGCTAAATTGCTGTTGCCAAGGACACAGTGGGAACACTTTTCCTGCTCTGTGCCATGAAGACAAGACTATATAAACCAATCTAATACCAAAAAGAGACACTGTGCATGTATTCTTATAAATAGCCAGAGACTTCCATTGCTACAAGAGATCCTTGCAGAGCAAGTCTTATCTGATTTCTTTTTGATGTCTGTGGTGAACAAATCAGTCTTGGGATGACTTCTTCTTCTAGGAAGTAACCTTTAGCATCATGTCTGAAATCTCCCCTTTTGGTTTAGCAGGGTGAAATGGCACAGGCAACCTCCTAATACTGGCAGATCACCAGAAGATGAATTTGCTCAGATTAAAAAAAGACAAGTTTTTTTCCCAAGAAGACAGAGCAGGACTTCAGCACCACCTTGCATGCTTAGAGGAGCTGTGTCAGGTATTTGTCATCATGTGGCTGGTCATGTAGGAGATAGGAGTGGAAGTCAGTCAAGTCTGCATTGTTTTTACCCACAGGGTATCTATTTACAACATCCTTTTTTTTAAGGACTACCACCCCGGAGATGCTCGTCTACCAGGATATGCCCCATGCCAGAAACCATCTGTCCAGTCCCAGTTGGATGGAGCAGAGTATCTCCCAGGAGGCAATGAACCAATGTTTCTAAAATAGGACACAGCTTTCATCTGAAGAAGAGGCAGCCATTGGAGGTGGCGGTGAAGAGGGCTAGTTTGAAGAATCAGAAGTCTTAAATATGAAGGTGAACAGTTTTGGACAAACATGGTATCACGGAAAATGGCTTTTTCTTAGAATTTCTCTCAGATTTGTACAAATCAATAGCTAGAACAACAGTCTGCTACACCAAATTTCTTATGGAATTAACTGTAATATGCAATAACTTATCTATCTGACCTCTAAGTAAACAAAACTACATCAACCATCTTTGTTCATTCGCTCACTCTATTTTTTAGAGCTGTCCTAAGATTTAAAATTTGCCTTCAATTTAATTTATGGCATTAAGATTCAAGATGAATTGAATCTTGAAGATTTAAGATGAAAATACTGATGAATCTTAATACTGATTTCTACCTTAAAGCATTTGAGAGATCTACAGCAAAACACTACATTTCCATTTCTCAATCAACAGCCTCTTATTTGATGGCATTTAAAAACCTGACGGCAACTTCTAGCTTTGGAGCAGTTACTTTAACTTGATCACTGTGTGGATGCATATATTGCAAACTACATGTGGTAAAAAGGAAGTATATATAAAAAGGAAGTAATTTTGAATCCCTCAATTAAATATCAGTTGCCAATAGGACAACTTCCTACTTTGTCTACCCCCAAAACACAAGTTAAATTACAACATGAGTTGAACTACATAAAAAAATAGAGAACATTAACCCTGTGTGTCCAATTTTAGCCATAATTATACTATGACTGATATGTAATATCTGGAAGTACTGTAATGCTACTTGAAATAAAATTTGACAGTCCTTTCTGGCAAAAATTTAATTCACATTCTGTTCCACCCTATCAAGTAGAGGGAGAAGTGTAAATGTTTTTCATTTGAGAAACAACTGAAGGAGAACTAGCCAAACTACGGAAGACATAAAAGTCAAATAATAACAACAAGATGATACTTTGAATCAAGTCGTAAGATAAATATTAAGTCTTTGACACAATCCCTATTTAAACATAACATAGACAAAATTGGAGTTGCAGTAATCTAAAAATATCTTTAAGAGCAGAATAAGCCAAGCAGATGCACCAGTAGTTTCTAAAAACAGCTGAGAAAGGAAATTACACTACAGTTCTCAAAACATCATGAGTTACTTCATTTCTTAAGGAAAATAGATTAATAACAGAATGCTTCATAAAAAGGCTGACACATAGATCAGATTGAAGTTCTAACAAGTATCAGTTGCTTTAAATAAGTAATTCCCTTCTCACTGTGATGGGCTATTTCACCTGAGGCTTTGTTTTCTGAGTCCATTTGCTTCTTCCTCAGTGAGATTTAGATGGATGCCCAAAGCTGACCTCCCAGAACAGTTACATGAACATTCAGATGCACGTGGCTACTCTAACCATAATGCTGATAGCCACAAAGAGTTGGATGAAGGATGTATATAATCGAGGCTCATTTTTTTTGTTTGTTTGCTTGTGAGCAGTTTCTTTCATGTTCTGTTATTGAAGTACATGTGTCAACTGACGAGAGGATAGCCTTGTAAATTAGATCTTTGATCTCAAGAGTTTATTTTATCTTTGCAGCAAGGAAAAGTGAATTGAATTGGCTGACAGAACTAAGCCCTCTCTTGTCTCTGGTCTACAGCTGCTGCATCCTTCTGGGGTCACCATAACTTCCACTTCCATCACTAGATACTCTCTTTTGCTACAGAATTAAAAAAAGGCTTCTTCAATATCTCATCATAACCTGCTGAAAGCTTTACAACTTCTGGTTTATTTTATGAACCATGCAGCTGGCTCAGACTTTTGCTTCTGCAGAAGGGATGCATTTGACAAAACACTGAGCTGTGATACAGCAAAGCTCTTCGAGCTACTCTGATACTGTGTCAGAAAATAAACTTTAATGAAATATTCACTGACTGGTTTTTGGAGTAGAACACTGTTTAGAAAGGCTACTACATGGAAAGCTGCAGACTAAAAAGAAGTATTTTCTCCGAAATGTTGAAAAGAGTATGTGATCTATCATTACTCTCCCATTACTTTTGTTAATGAACAGAGGCTTTAAGCATTAGGGACCACTGTGCTGTATACTACATGTACACAAAACAGACTAAGGGGCATAATACTGATTTACGTCCAGGATTAGTCAAGGTCTATTGCAATCCCCCAAAATGTAGAAAAACTCTCCATTAATATGCTTCAGAAAACAAAGTTTAAAGCGTTTTTTAGGAGTTCTTAATGCTTAAAAATATTTATACATGGAGGAAAAAAATTCTCCACACAGAGGTCAAAGTAGTGCTTTGGATCTTACTCCTTTTTAGATCATTCAGCCAGCCCAGCAGCACATGCTGGAGAATTGGACCAGTCTTACTCATTAGCATCAGGTAGTGCCAAGAAAAACTTCATGTACCTGTATGTAGAATCTAAAATGTGTGCTCCAGAACTAAACAGACAGCAAGATGCCATGCCTAGAAGATCAAGTTTACTTCTTACACTCTTGGCATCTGAAATTACTGAAATTATGAATTGACTGAAATCTCAGTTTCTTTCTATGGGCAGTAATGCTTCCAAGTTAACTGACTGTCAACACAACAGGAACAAGGGAGTGATTTTTCTCTCCTTCCAGTAAGCATGAATACTTACACTTCTTCTTCTGGATAGCTGCGATTCAGACAGAAGGAGAGGTAAGAAACTGTCTGTGGGAACTCATCTCTCAGAAGAAGGATGCTGAAAAGAAAGAGGTAGTTCTCTAGGAGACTCAAAGAACATAAATATCTATCTCTGGTAGAGAAAGAACATGGTCTCTGGAGCATACAGGCAAATCAATAATTTTGCTTAGTTTAAGGAATTTGCCATATTGATGGGAAGAAATCAGGCCTAACATACTTACTTTCTAACTTTGCAAGCTTGTTACAGAACACCAAGCTTAATGCTGATGAAGAGTTGCAGCATAGCAGGTGGCCTGAATGAACTTGGCTACTAAACCTTTGTCTTCTACAGCACCAAACAGGAGTGTACCTTTGGAATTTTAGGAGGATACTCTGCCTCTTTCTTGCTGTACAGAAAGTCTCTGGCTTCGAAAATGAATCTGGTTAATCTGGAATTGCCCTGTCATCCGCAGAAGAGTTGCAGTTACTTACCCCTAGGAGTTGCATTTCTGGTTCCTCTCCATACTCACTAGGCTGAGCAGAGAAAACACAAAGCAAGATGAATTATTGTGTCATAAAGAAAGGGTGGTTGTGGGGATGAGGATAGTTTCTCAAGCTCAGGTTTTATGCTATTGTTCAGAACAACTTGCTCATCTTGCCCAAGAGGCTGCTGTAGTGCTTTTGTGAACATAACAGGTTCTCCAGCTAAAAATGCAAAAACCTGTGTGTTATTTTGAGATACTGTAATTGCTGTGGTGAATGTGCTCTTTGCCTTTTTCCTTTAGTTGCTTTAGGTCAAAACCTCTCCTCTGTGACCGCACAAGTGTATATTTGCTGACTGTCATATCAGGGTTTGGATCATACTTTAGAGAAAAGAGCAGAAACTGGATCTGTAATCACTGCCTGACCTGCCAGACATGGCATTGTCTGGTTCCATTGCTGCATTTGTCACTGGGGAGTTCTCTGTAGGGACCAGCTCCCACTAAGCCTTCTGTCAGGCTGTTCTGGATGCAATTATTCTTTGATTTACCTTTGAACATGTGAGCTTCACTCCCCTTTTTCTACATTTCAAATTACACTTTTCCAGAGCCTGTATTTACAACCTTTCCAGAGAAAATAATAAGAGTCTTTTTAGGTTTGACTTATTAAAAAGTTCAATAAGAAAACTATCACACAACACAGAGTACACCTTTTGCAAGGAAAATGTAGAGAATGGCAAATGAAGCTCAAATTCTCCCATGAACTAAAGTAACTCTAAATATTTAACAAAGGAGGCACAGGAACACAGCTCAATCTTTCATTATTAGTCCTAGAGTTGGCAGTCTGTTGTAATTCTGATGTTAATGACATTAGCTATTAAATTACTTTCTGTTCTGTCAAAAAAATTTACATACATATGCATAACACAAAGCAAACAGTTCTATTCATGTTCTGATTATTATATACAGAACATACAGAAAGGAGAGCCAAGGTGGTTTACTGTTTTGATATTGATTTTATTAATAGTTTTAAATTATTTTTTTAAAATTAACTATATTCCTTCATCCGTTGTCAAAGGTTTGAAGAACAATACATAGAACCATCCAGTATTTGTTGGTAGTGACAGATACACATATATTCACACATATGCTGTGCAATAATCAGCGTATGATGTCAAACATATCCTACATAAGCAATTCACATCTTTTGTGAACTGAGACTCTTCGAAATCTTTAATGTTTTGAAGATTTTGTGTCATCTTCATGTTATTAGTGGACAAATAGTAGTAGTCATAAATCTTACTAATTTATAACAGTTTAAATGTATTCTTTTTCTTGTCCAAGTGGGAAGAAATTCACCTTCACTGTCTGGATGCAATAAGACTTCAATTGACTTTTAGGGATGATCTCAGGCAAGAGAGGTGTTTGAGCCTCAGCTCTTGCTAAAGACACATTCCCAGTACCCTTGGCCATTACTAGTACCCTTGCTACTCTTACCCTTTATGGAAGATGATTAAGGGTGAAGGCCAAGTTTTAATCTACCACCCACATTTCTCCTCCTGCTGAATACAACCTCCTCCCTACTCTCCTTTGTCTCTCTTTTTCTTTTGAAGGGGTACTTGTGAGTTTAACGGAGCTCAAATCTGACAAGTTGTAATTATTTAGATAAATCATCTAACTTTAGGCAAAAAAATGAATGCCAAGTCAGCTAGCAAAGAAAGAACAAGTATTGTGAGTTTGTTTGGTCTTCAACAGTGCTTTACAATTCTGCTTCAAGACTAGCTGAGCTGCATAAACATTTCAGATTCAAAATAGATAATTTGAATGGAAACATACTATTTGCAGAACAAGCCATTTTTTAACTATTAGATATAAAATAATAATTAAAATTAAAATTAGTGCTTCAGGTATGCATTAACTAGAAAATTCAGCACACAAGACAGTTCTGAACAACTTTGTAAATTAATTGTTCCTTCTAAGAGGCCTTAGTACTTCCCAGCTCCCAGCCACACTATTCCCAAAGCAGTATCAGGGACACCTCCTAAGCCATCACAAGTCACCAGCACAGCACACAGAATCCACCAGATGAAAGTGTGATATAATTTATTAGAAGGACCCCAATTTTTAAATGACACTGAAAAGATTTTCAAGAATTTTCAAGTTCCCATGAAAGCTGAATGGTCATGCCTGTAGTAAACAATACAGATGAAACCACATGGTAACTCTCACACATAAAAAATAACTCACTATTTTTTAGCATCTTTTTATTGTAGTACAGCACAGATACGCTCCCTAAAACAATATCTTCAAAACATTTAAGAACACAGCTGTCAAAAATATTAAATACATACATCAAAAAAAATCTAAACCATGAATATTTAACAACCTCAGACATATTCACAATATAATTTCTTCACCATTTACAGTACTTATCTCAAATACTGTAAGAGGATGCAAGTCTGAAAATATATGTATTTTAAGCTACCACAGAGCATAGAAAATATAAGAAAATATCCACTAACATTTGGCACAATATAAATATTGCACCCCAAGAGAGAAAACCAGTGTAGTCTTTTGTGTGCCACAGATCATTCTTCATCACAAACTGTGACGTTACATCAGAGAGCTGTTGCTCGTGAAACAGCAACTCTGGTGTTAGTCAGGAAAAACATGCTCAAAGCTTGTGAGCAGGGACACAGTGGTCTGTGAGAATGCATGTTTAGGTACTTAGCAGTTTAATTTAGTTGGATAAGAAACAATGTAATGTTTTCCTGTTGTTAAACATTGCCATCTGTATCTCTGGCACACAAATTAAAAAAAGAAGGGTGTGACCATTAAAAGTACGTGTCCTGAGATTTCCTTCTTCAGGGGGCAAAGAGGTTAAAATGGAAAAGCTGATCTGTATATAAATCAGGAACACATGTGGTAATGAGAACAAACAGCAGCCAACAGGCAGGCGGGGAGGACTTCTCCAGGCAGGCACAAAATGAGACGGACAAAATACCATCTACTGGAAAAGGGAAGGAAGCAACTGATTTTCATTTTAAAATTGGTAAGTTTAACCAATTTTAACTAATTTTTAAGTTTAATCCTATTAAGTCTTCAAGATTATTTAAGGACTCATAACTAACTCTGAGTTTTCAAACTCAGTTTCACAGAAAAGTTGTCTGTCCAGTACTGCAGAGCAGCATTGCTTTAGCGTTAATATTGGTTTCTATCTGTACAAAATCAGAGCTGATCTCAACACATGTAACAGGACCTATGTGTTTGGTAACTGAGTGAAGTAACAAAACAGTGCTAGCCTTCCTCTAAAGTTATGAAATGTTTGTGTCTGCAGCCTACATATTGGAAGTAGATATCAATAGCCAGTCTCCTACTCAGGCTGAAACAGCTGCTTGATTTCTTTGAGGATAAATAGAATATTTAACATATTAAGTTACAGATCATTTAAAGCTAAGAAATATATCACAGTTGTGAATAACAATCCATTTGATACACCAGTGGCAGGCCCCCAAAATATTGAGTAGATCCAAATAAGTCTTGATCTTCCCTTTAAGACTTATTCCTCGACAGAGGCAGAGAAAATAAAGAAAACATTATGGATCACAAAGCACTGAATTTTCAAGGGTAAAGTCATACCAAAATCTTGATAAATTATCATTGATGTCGTAGGTGAGCAATCGGTCAGGAACGTCACTCTGGGTGCCCTGCACTGCTAACACGTGTGGTGCTAGGGCAAAGGGTACGTCGCTCAGCAGGTCTGACATGAAAGGGCTGCTTTCCAAATTTTGACTCCTTTGATTTCCCACCTCTGCACTTGGTACAGTCAACTGCGATCTCTGAAGAGAACAGAAGAACAGACACTTAGACACCACAAATCAGGCAACTACGGCTTTGTACTTAGAACCACAATGACCTACAACAAAGGGAAACAAAACAAACAAAAAATAAATAAAAGCACATTCAGAGTTCAGTTCAGGTAGATCTAAAATAGCAGTTCTCAATACACATTGATATAATTCTTTGGCTCAGGTTGGCCTGAATTAAGGCTAAACCAACAATAGATCTTTTGGACTGATTACTGAGGTATCTCCACCTAATGTTACTCTGCATTTATGAAACCCATATGGCCGGTGGACTTTTTGTCATTATGTTCAGTCTGGTTTAGGGGAAATTACTTCATATAATTCATTTCATAACTGATGAAGCTCCATCTTCTGTTCCCCCTGTGCCTTTTCAGAAGTTGTCCAACAAAGGCATGACTTTCATGATAAAAACACTCCTATCTCAGTTATTTCAAAATATTAATGACGTTGCTTTCCAATTTGAAATAGAATTGCACAATTGGCTGTCCATTATATGGCAATGCATTGCCAAGTATGTTCTTTACAGAAAAACACAGCTGAAACTTCAAAAAAAGCCAACAGCAACCCCTGAACCAAAAAACAACAATGAAATAAAGAAACTCTGCCATACAGAAGAAGTCAACACAATTTACAGAAAATTGGAGCTGATCAGATGCTGGACCCAATAGACTTGTAAGCTTTGATACTGACCTGCCAATAGGACCGTATTATGTGTTTATCCTAAAACTTTTACCATTTCAAAAACACAGAAAAGACTGTTTACTCTGCCTCTGGAAATCAAATCCAACTTGTTTTACTATTTATAGCAATAAAATGCTAAACAAAGTCATAGCTCTCACATCAGGCACCTATAATGACATTCCTGACCAGTAACAAGCTCTGAGCAACCTGATCTAGTGAACGGAGTCCCTGCCCACAGCAGGGGGGCTGGAACTAGATGATCTTTAAGATGCCTTCCAACCCAAACCATTCTATGATTCTTTGATCTCTAGGAGTAAGATGTTTGTTATAAGAATTTATATTTTATATCAGCAAACATACAGAAATATTTAGTAATTTGTTCAAAAGTGCTCAACAAATCATGTCAGAGGCACAAACATAGAAATTAATTTCTGATTGCATTCCTGTTTTCTTCCTTTCAACCCACCACACTAAACACACAGAAAAATCCAAAGTTTATACTGTTATTAGGGAAGGAAGAGCACCGAAAGCTTTAAACACTAATGTGGTGTTCAGCAGATCATAAGAGTTAAACGGATCGAGTTGTATGGAGATGGCTTTAACCCTAAATTATTCCATGATTTTTAGGGGAGTTGTGCTGCTCAACATCTGACCTATGCTGGAGTTGAATGTCACAGATCGTGGCTGTTACAGAGAACAGGTTGTTGCTGTTTGACAGAAGGACAGTTTGGGTGGTGGGATGGTAGTGGGTACTGTGTTTTCTAGCCTGGAGTTTGTAACACAGCTAAGCATTTAGCCAGGGAAAAGACACTCCATCTCCTTCCCAAAGGAAGGACTGGATTTGACTTGAACATAACCTGAGTACTAGTAATTCCTTACACAACCCAAGATTTCATCTAGTAGGACAGATAAACCAACGCTAAACCGTCTATTAACGTGCCAACAATGAAACAGATACTCTTGCCAATCTAAGCCTGTTCAGAGCCAGTACTTATCTTGGGTGTTGGAGGAAGCACACTCCTCCACAAGCTGGTGGGACAGAAGGGGTTAGTGGTGCTGCACACTCTGAACTCATTTGGAAGCTTTTGTTCATACTTGCAATGATTTGAAACCTAAAGCATATGATAAACTTCCCAAGATCTGTCACTATCATATCACAGGATAATAATGTAAATTTTCTGAAGGTTAAGAAGTTTATTAAAAGGAATGACTGCTACATGACTGCTACTAACCTTACTGGTTATGATCCAAGACAAAAGAGGAGCGATATTCTCTAAAGCTACTTTAATTCCAGCATGTCTGTACTACATAATTCCTACAGCTATAGTTTACAGATGTTTCTTCATGTTCTTTATTTCCCCTTGCTTTCCTTTTCTCAGTTCTCTGTTCTTAGGAGTAGCTGACAGCTCTTCATAAAGCTACATGCAACAGCAGAGGCTGGGCAGGGAAAATAGGAAAGCTAGCAGGGAAGTCAGGAAGATGGCCTGCGTAGTTCTACTACAGCTTTCAAAGCTTGGAGCGAAAAAACCATGGGCAATAGCACCATAAGTCTGTAAGTTCAGGAAAAACCCTAAAATCTCTTGTACTTTTCTAATGAGCCAAGTTATCTCCAAGATGAAGATGAGCAGGTCTTGAATTAAAAGAGATACTAGCTTCTCTAGCTGCTCATTGATAACAGGGAAGTCTTCCTTCTTGTCAGGGCCAAATAGGCTCAAGGTATGCAACATAACAAAATTCACAAATATCTTCCACTATAGACATATTCTATTGCAAAAAGCACTGCCAAACACACAGAACATTTATTTATGTTAATGATATTTATCTGAAAGAACACCCCACGACACTTCAAAGAAGTACTTAAATTTGTAGCTACTGTAAACTTAAATACTTCCCTTAATTTCTACTGTGCATGAATTAATCTGAGGGGGAGCCAGAAAGCCCCAAAGGAAAAACAGGGTTACATTGAGGAATCAATTAAACAAGATCTTCAAAGACCCTTCAGCCTCCCTCCGTTCCTGCATTCCAGGCAAACATGATCCCTCACTCACTATCCTCTCTATTCCCACCGCTCAGATGATAATCAGAAATCCCCAGAATCTAATGTTTATTTTGATTGGCAAATTATACCTGTTTATATCTTAATTGTCTCACAAGCCAGATGAACGTGATTTACAATAAGAATTAAGACTACCATGTGTTAAAACTAACTTGAAAAAGAGAAAAAAAAAATCAGAGAGAGAGCAAAGCATCTTGGATCGTCTTTTTTCTTCCAGAAACCTTACTTTGGTTAGAATAGTGCTAAAGGGGCAGCCCTAGAAGTTAAAATCCTTTCTGTACACAGCAGATACATGTATTGACAGTGACAGAGCAAGAACTAGCTTTTCTTGTTCCCAAGTCCCAGTCCATATTTGAAAGCAAGACTGGAGTAAGGAAGGATGAATTATGTTAGAATTATTTTACTGTTCAAGTATCATTTTACCATACTCCATCTCTGCTTACTATCAGTGAGGTTCTTAATAGTCTACTATTTGAATACTATCATAAACAAAGCCTGAAATGGTTGAGAGCAACATTGTACAGATAAGTCAAGAACAAAGAAAAGTGTCAGGTCAGTATAACAAATTCCACAATCTGATCTTAGATCCAATGGTCTTTGGGTCTCACTTTACCCAACCCCTCATGAGAAGGTTTTGGACCCAATATGACAAGATCAGTTTACTGCATAAATGGAAAAGGCGTCAAGATTTCCTGTTTTAGTCTTACACATAAACCACTACTCTCTCTCCCATGAAAAATGCTATTTTTCATTACCTAAAAAAGTTCAAATTCACTTTTTAATTTTAACAAGTCACATTTTATATTACTTTCATTGGACTGATATCCCAACAAATTATGCAATGGGAAAAATACAAAACCTAGGGAAGATGATCTGTTAGTCCAGTATGAAAAACTCAAACCTGGGTTAACCAAAGTTAACCTGGAAAGTTAACTGAAAATAGGCTGCTGCAGACTTGTTGCATTTTCAATTTAATTCCTTGTCTATTGTGGAGCCCATCCCTTTATCTAGTACACAGTGTGTCATATGTGTTACGGCATATATTATCTATTAGGTATCTATATACAAAGAAAAGAGTTTCATTCCTGAAGAATTCAGGTTTCAAGAAGTAATTTTTCAGTTCTGCCTAGTGCAGTCATTACAGGCAGTAATGACTCTTTAGCCCTTGGCTATGCAGGGCTATTTGTGAGCACTCCTGCAGTGATATCTAGATATTGGCTTCATGTGCAAGATTCTACCAAACAAGACATATTTTTGTGCTTCCAAACCATAAAGATATTCTTTAAATGAGCTAAGACATATTTAATTTATATGCTGGAGAAGCCACATGAGTGAAAAGACCTCGATGAAGCAGGCTTTCATAGCACCTGTGGTAATGTAACAAAGAACTGGACACTTCAAGAGAGAACATCAGTCACCCCTTGGTGCTGAGGTCGCCCAAGCTGCTTCCAATGCAAACACCAGCACAAGGCAATGTGATGCAACCAAAGTCAAGGTTATGAAATGGCTTATGCTTTCACACAGGCATTCTTCAAGCATACATAGAACTGCAAGACCTAGAGAATTTGATATCCCGCATTAGTCACACTGGTTTCTACTTAAATGTCTAACTTACTTATCCAGAATACAATCCATTCAGAGCATATTATCTGGACATTAGCTAAACTAAGCACTGCCAAATGGCATGACACACAATCCTGTTATGAGAAATATTAATTGAATGGACTGAGAAGATCCACCGGTTTACGTTTCACCAAACACCAGGGAGTTAAAAGAATCAGTTAAAATTACATAAGCTATGGCAATAAAATTTAATTCAAATAAGCAAGGTGTCTTCTTCATTCCTGGTTTACAATCCCAATGAACAGGGATAAAAGAAACACAATGTAAATATATACGGTAGCTGGCCACCAGATACTAATTGCAGTCTGGCAGCAAGGGTGTTAGATGCTATTTTGAAAGTAACAAAGTATAAAATTATCCTCTAAAGGAAGTTATTCCTTTTTGCTCTTTTTTAAAAAGATGTTTCTCAGCTTCCTTTAAAAAACATCTAATTTGCTGCATGTCTTTGTATTAACCATAAAGTCTGCCAAGGGTCTCATAAAGATGAAAAAATGCATAGTTTACAATGTACTGAGAAGCTGGATTTATAGTGCTCTGAAGGAGAATCAAAGATCAGTGCTAGCATTATTATCATCCAAACCACTGAACAAGGTTTTCTATCAAAAAGTGATTA